AGATTAACAATAATCTGCATAAATTAACATATGTTAATAAATAATTTCAGCCAAAATTAACATAATATAATAATAAAATGATTACAGAATATAGTACTATATACTATTATTCAATAACTTATCATATGACAGCCTATGAATGCGTTAGCTTTATCTAACATTTCAATCCAGTTATAAAATGAATTATGGTTAAATCTCTCTCTCTTTCTCTCTCTCTCTCTCTCTCTCTCTCTCTCTCTCTTTCTATCAATCTATCTATCATCTGTCTATCTATCTATCTATCTGTTCATTTTTCTTTCTTTCTCAATCTCTATAGATATATTAAAAAATTATTTTCATTTTTTTTTATTCTGAAAAAAAATTGCATAAAATAAAATTTTCCATGAGAGCGAATGATAAAAATGCAAACGACGGACTCACCTTGGCTGGATGGCGGTTCTGTATAATTTAACATGCTGTTAACTTCACATTAATAGTGTTGTTTTTCAACAAACAATATCAACAACAACATCATCAACAACAACAACAATATCAACAACAGCAACAACAACAAGATCAACAATAACAACTACTCTGAATACTACTACAGCTACTGTAAACAAACGGAATCTTAAATGTGATTCTTCAATTCTGAAACATTCCTCCATCAACAAAATCAACAACAACATCATGAAAACCACAGAAAAACATCCACAACAACAACAACTAACATTGTCAACATCATCAACAACAACAACAACAACAACTAACCAACATCGTCAACAAAAACAACAACGAAACGTGTTCTTCAGATATATGGAAGCTTGCCTTACCTCAAACTTAAATACTACATATCCTCATACAGACATACATAATACATAAATACATACATACATACATACATACATACATACATACATACATACATACATACATACATACATACATACATACATACATACATACATACATACATACATACATACATACATACATACATACATACATAAATACATACATACATACATGCATGCATACATACATACATACATACATACATACATACATACATACATACATACATACATACATACATACATACATACATACATAAATATATATACATATACAGCAACAAAGTTAACATTTTTACCTGTATTATTATGTGAATAGCTTAGCACACCTGCCTCTTCTTGTAATCTTCAGTTACTAGCTGCTATATATATATATATATATATATATATATATATATAGATATATATGTGTGTGTGTATGTGTGTGTATGTGTGTGTGTGTACGTGTGTGTATGTGTGTATATAATGTCTATATATGTATATATATACATACATACAAATATATGCTTGTATGTATATTTGTTATAAAAAAAAAACTTATAAACAATTTACAGACAAACGTTTTTTTGCTTGATAGAGCCGGAGATCTATTTGCAGTTGAACCGGGTGTCTGTGGCACTGGGTCT